AGTTTGGTGGAAGTGAAAGCTTACAGCAACGACAGTCAGTACGGTAAGCGTTCTTCTAGAAGTGAGACCATTGGAATACTCTTCACTGGCCACTAGAGGGCAGGGGGAGCATGTCAAGCAGTAGAAATCTATGGAGCAGGGGTCATGACACAAACACAGAATTAAATTATTATTAAAATAAAGTCTTTTAAATCACAGTCCAAATAAGGACAAACACCTAAAAATACAAAATCTTGTTTAACATCCAGTTTTGCCTTTTAATTCAGAGTGCAGTGTCTTACTTGTGACAGGAGACAAGTACAACTGCTCAAATGTATTACTGTATAAGTAAAGGAAATGAGTTGGCTAGTAGTACAGCACATCATGGAGTTGTAAACAGACTAAAGTGCTAAAAAAATAAACACCATCCTCTCCAAGCATATAAGAATCCTGATTAAGATATTTGTTAAGCTTCTCTGAAGATCAGTATTTAAGTTAGAAAATAGCATAACACTTGAGCTGATTCCCCAGCGACAATTTAACTACCACATGCCATCCTGACATGCATCACATGTAGATTCTGACAGATCAGAATCTGTAGGGCCAGGGAAAATATGAAGGGGGCTCGTCAACACTGAAATTCTATTCACATAATACAATGATGCCTATCATGCTAACAAACAGGCCTGCAGCACACTAATTTATAAAAGCAAGCATGACAAATCAGTTTAAAGTCAGGAATTACTCGATCTGCAGACTTGTATTTTAACCTCAGCTGTGTTCCTGAATGCAACACACAGACAAAGTGTGATATAGACACTCAGGGCAGAGTGAAAAGGTTCTCTTAGGCTCAGTTTGAGTTGAATGGTTGAATAGAGTGATGTGACCCTGCAGAGAGACAGCGCTGAGGGAAAGAGCCACGATGAATCGATCTCATCACACTCCCTCTTACTTATTATCCCAACTGTCACACACTCCTGCAGTCAAAGCATACATGTGCACAAATATGGTTTCACGGCAAAGTCTTGCTGATGTTTAACAAAATGCTTGTATAACCAACATGAATAAACTTCATAACCACTAAAGCAGCATCTGAATCCAAGTGAGACAGGCGAGGCAAATACTTTGGGAATAACTGAAGAGGCCAATCGTAGAAGACAGTCTTTATTGATTTAGTGTGTAACAGTTTCTGCTGGGGTCATAATCAAAGCGGTATTGTATTTACGATCACTGTGAATCTTTGACGTTAAATATTAAAATTCTAAGATGGTGCACAGTTGTCAACATGGAGCTTTGCACAATAGTACAGAGCATTATAAGAACAACTGGCACACATCCAGAAGCCCAATTATTCTTCTTTCACAATTATCCATTCACTCATTTCGACACACCCTTGTTTCACATGTTCAGCCTGGCACTGAAAGCTTCCTTACAGAGGCAAAGCAGAATATGTAATTGCACACAGCCAGGAGATCTTCCTTTGTGTATATTATGTACAGACATTTTGTAAATTGCCTTAACAGTGTTGATTCCAAAAATAAACTTCAGGATGAAGAGCAACCATAGTGGAAGTTAAAGAGGATCCTATAAAAAATAAACTAATAAATGCTGTTGATACTTTGGAGATTTGTCAGGAACTGAAAACAACTTCTGATTTCAAAAGAGATTAATTCATTTTAAATAGAGGACAGCTTTTATTATTTGTACTCATGTTTTAATTGATGTGTGAAAAGCTTTACATTTGATTGTCCTCCCAATGACGGTCTAAATCTGTTTACCAATATTTTTCCAGGAACTAATAGCTGCTCCAAGAACAACAGCGGATGTGTCCACCTGTGCCTGCCCTACCCCGGGGGCAACACGTGTAAATGTGGTCGGGGTTTCTACGGTGCTTCCTGCACCCCGCTGCCCGCCTGCCCCTCTGGAGAGGAGTCCTGCTTCGACGGTAGCAAGTGCTTCAGCATCAGCAAGTTTTGTGACGGACACGTGGACTGTCCTGACCAGTCTGATGAACAGGACTGTGAGTCTAATGCACATCTTTAATAACCCAACAATTGATAAAACAAAACCTAACCCTACCCCTGATTTTCTCTTCAGGTCCAAACCCTAACTCTGCATCTCCCGGGAGCAAATCCAGCAACGTCCGCCCTCTCCCCAAAGCCAAACTGAATTCTGTCCCCTCAATAAAAAAGTCCTCTACGTCCTGTGATCTCCAGCTGTGCAGCGGCCATGGCAGCTGCATCACGGAGGGCAAAACGGACCGCTGCCAGTGTGAGGACGGTTACAAGGGAGAGTCCTGTCAGGAGGCAGAAACTGGGAAAAGCCATGTGGGGATGATCCTGGGGGTCTTCTGCCTCCTGGCTGCATTGATGTTGGCTGGATTTCTGTACAATAGAAGGTAAAAATGACGTCCAGCAAGATTGTTGTCTATTCAAAGGACTGATTCATACTGGTCTACACTACTTCAGAATGATTTAGTTTGATGTAAGTCTGATCTATGAAGAAACTAAAATTTGAGATTTCAACAGGAGACAAGTGAGGAATACCTGGGTGACGATCAGAAGCAGATCCTCAGAGAAGGAAACTCTGATGGCCAACATGGGTCTGCCAAGTGAACACTCCGACTCCGACTGCGAGGTAAAGCCTGAGGCCACAGACTGGAAATTCATTTGGATAAAAAGCAGAGATTATTTTTACTTTTGGATTATGGACCATTGATATGGCTTACCTATAAACCTGCCGGGTTTTATTTTTTAAGTAGCCTACTCAATTAAGTCCAGAAAAATGTGTCCCCAAAACATCCAGCCAGAAACATAAACTAATATTTTCATTTGATTGTTTTTTAGAACTTACACTTGATTTAGACTGTAAAGGTTCATTCTTGTCCCCAGGATCTGGATTCCCCGGTGGATACGAAGAACCCCCCGCTCGTGATGAAGTCTCTACAGCTCACATAGAAGTTCTGCTTCCTGAAATAAGGCATCCTGTAAACACCTGGTGCCAGTCAAGACTCTTATGGTGCAATAAATGTGAAAAATATCCAAAACTCTGGCTCTGCTTGTTTTAAATCTATCCACACACTTACTTCTGATGCTCCTTAGCAATTAAAACACATTTTCAACTTCTTATTTAGCCCAGGTTTCATGGACAGGTTTGATTACATTCCAATATATTTAAAATCAAAGTTTGTGGCCTGCAACTTGATTATTTTCATTTTTTTGTTTCTCTACGTTTTACATTTTGACCACACAATAACACAAATGGAGAAAGATGGTGGGAGAGTTGTTGTGCACAACCTCCACATTTTAAATGATGGGACAGCTAAAGTATTGCTGTTTTATCAAAAACATGCTTTCAGAATGTGTCCTTTACGGCACGCTGTTCCATGTGAAGCGTCATCACAACGGTGCTATGCTAACAATGCTCATGTGTTTTCTTAGTGTCTGGTGTGACTGCATTCATCACAGATCTTTCAGTGTCTGCTGCCAAAACGTTTTCGCAGCAGTACCTGTGAGCCCTTATGTAATCTGATACCAGTTTCGACTAAATGCTTCCTCGTGACATTTTGTTTCCCTTTTTGTCACCTATTCATGGTTCCAGAGAAACATATTTGCTATGAAAGATCTTTTTGTTTTCGTACTTCCTCTTGCCAAACTCTATCAGGAGTCAGAACATGGGCGTGTATGTTTCATCTGCTATCAAAATTGCTACTTCCACTGTGATTTAAAAAGTCCCAAGGTGTTCTTTTGATCAAAGTAACAGTGTTAACTATTATACATGTCTGCAATACATAAGGAAAACGTTACTTTGATTCCCACTATTTAGCATTTATCGATCATGAGTGGGGCATTGACTCAGTCATTGTTACCTAATTTGGCGATGTAACGATATTCATTTAAATAAACATCTTTGAGCTTATGAATTAAAGCTGTTGGCATTATTAAACACTGAGATCTAATTAGACCTTTGACATACAGGTCCTCCCAGGGCGTTCCCAGATATATTGAATATCAATCCCTCGGGCATGTCTGCTCTGCCTAGTGACCTCCACCCAGCTTTGCAGGAACGCTTCAGGAGATAATGATCACTTGCCTTAACCACCCTTACACAACACTGCACTGAGCTTCCTCAAGAAAACAATTATCTGATGTGAGAACTGCTGAAAAACCATTGTCTTGTATTTTTTTTTCCAAAACATGAACTCACGAGCATGGAGATGTTTCTTAATTGGATAAATAAAAAAAAACTGGAGTGTATATATTTGACAGTGCTCAGAGGACATGGAAGGGCTTGGCAACAAAACCACGGGCCGCTGAGCAGAGTACACACAGCCATGTTTCAGTCACAAGACAATGCCTGGGATTCTTGCTGCTGACTGACTTGTGTTTGGTATGAGCCGGCAACAGATCAGTTGCAGTAATAAAATGCATTAACTGTAAGTACAAAATGTCTAAAGATATCCGAGAGCTAAGGCTAGCCGTTCAACGCTAAATAAACCTCAGACATGCACAGACATGCAAGTCTTGCCAGTTTTTCTTGTTCCAACCTGCATTCTCTCCTTTCCCTCCCCCACTTAAATAGCAAACACAACCACTGTAATTCAGTAAGAAATAGTTCTCAGGTACAGAAAGGGTGTACGTGAGTTATTCAGCATCCTATTCCCAAGACGAATGACACATTTGATATCATAAAATCAATGCCCTGCTTCAAATTATTCAACATTTCTTGTAAATTTCTTCAAATGTTTGTTTTATTTGGTGCACTGGGTGTTTATTTTTCCCAGGGATGCCTGAGCATTGTGTTGTGAGTCAGTGTGAGTCAGCTATTAACTGAAGCATAAGATTAGTTTGAACTCTCCTTGTGAAATGTAGAGTTGCTACATATATGGCAGGGATATTTGGTGTGAGCAAGAGTGTGTGTACAGTATATGACTCAACCCCATTTAAACATAAGATAAAGGGGCGGAGTAGGAGATTGTGTGCGTTTGTGGGAAAAAAAGGAGGCAGGTATTCACAGGTCTCGGCTTTCTTCCTCTTCCCTCCTTCCTATTGTTGCACATTCCCTCACTGAGAGGAAATAATTTTTCAAAGACCCAGGACTTTTAGCTCACACACAGAGAATCTGCTAGCTTTCTTTCCTTCGGTGAGTAGACGTAATTCATTTGTCATATTTAAAAATGTTGTTTTTACTGTATGTCTATTCCCAAAGTCAGTGTTTGGTACCATCTTGCAGTGCTGGTGGGGAAACCTAATGAACGACATGCTTGAAAAGTAGAATAAATTATTTGATAATGGTCAGTCTTGTCTCTTAAATCTTTGAAGTACCTTTTCCAACACTAGTCTGAATGCTTTAGGCGGCTGTGATGCAACACTATCTTCAGCCTCTCTACTAAAGCGTCATATTGTAGCAGGCATGCTAACCTACTTTTATCTTTGTATTCATCCAGTAGTGAATGTGTTTAGCAGATTCATTAAATGCTTTGTGAATCACAGTGAATCTTTAACCTGCATTTATTCTGTTCTTTGGATAAGGTTGATGTTTTTTTGATAGGAGTTGAAAAGACTCGGGTGGGGTCAGTCCCCCTTTAGGGTTGTTCCTCTGTTGTTGACAAAGAAACAACTGGGATAGCTTCAAGGAGTACTTCCTTGTGTGTCTCGGGAAAGAATAATGGCAAGGTGAACAATTATTAGTTTCTTACACTTCCTGCAGTGTTATGCTGTTAGGCCTATTTGGTCATTTGTATGTGATCATTTAAAAGTAAAATATGTCTGAGGGTGAGACGCTACACAACACCTCCTACAAAGAAGCAAGACACTGACTCCATAATTGTTTCGCCATGGAAATCAACTTGTTACTTTGTAGTTGTTTAATGTCTTTTTATATTTTGTGTCTTTATGGTCATGTTGTGTCTCTTTGTAGTTGTCACTTTTTAATAGTTGTTGTCCTTTCTTTTGTTTTGCTTTTACCTTTGACTAGAGTTTTTGTACCTCTGTCATTTGTTTGCATCTCTTTTTAGTAATTTCTTACCATTTATTTGTGGTCATCTTGAGTGTCTTCCTGCCTGGTATGATGTCTCGTTGAGTGACATTTTGTAGATAAATGCCAGGTGACATCCTGACACTTTGGGCGCTTGGACATGTGCCTGGGGGGTATACTACGAAGCAGGATTTTCGCTTAGCCGGCTAACTTCTAGGAAAACTGCGGCTCTCCGGTCTTACGAAGCTGGTTCTCTTTTTAGCAGGCTAGATCTCCATGGTAACTTATGCTGAGCGGCTAACCTGCCCCGGAGCAGGTTAGGTTGCAGGCTAAGAGATCAACTCAGTGAAAGCACCGCCTGCTGACCAATCATAGCTCAGTGTGCAGAGTTTAAAGCGATCAAGTCACATTACAGGAGAAAGGAAAAACTGCCGTTGCAGGAAAGACGGCCGGCAAAAATCAACTGACTGTGAACGTAAACATTATAGAATATCACCTCCCATCTTCAGAGCAATCTGACTATTATAACATTAGCGTTAAGAAAGCTTACTTAAATATCTGCCACAACATAAGTAACCGGATCAAAGTAACAGTAGCCTACAGTCCGCGGCATATCACATCATGTATCATATATTTCCTTATCTGAGTCAGCTGAGCCGTATCTGGCCGTGCAACACTCAGTGTCACATACTACATGCAGAAGTATTATTTTAAGCATTTTAAGTTGACGAAACACTCGAGACAAATGTAATTAAAGTCAGATCGTGTCTTAGACGGGGCAGTGATATCATAAACCTGTTAATGTACGCATTCAAACACTTTTTCTTTTACCAGCTGTATTCACCTTGCAGGTGCAGCTATGTGGCTTTGATCCTGGATAAAGTGTTTAAGTCATGGATGTTTAAAGTTTAACGTCTTCATATTTGTCTAATTATAATAGTTGACTTTTCCTTCAGGAAGTATGACGCGCTGCGCTGTCAGTACGCTTGTCCACGGTTATGACTAGAAAGGATCCGTCTAGTGTAAAACTCTCGTGAGAGTTTGGCTGAATGTCACGTGGCTGAATGTTTACGTTTGGCAGGCAGCCTTTCAGTTACGATCGTTAACATCAGTTGGCCACAGCAAATGATGGTGAGAAGCTAAACTATCTATTAATTATGTCAATGACAGGGAGTGTGATTGTTGAAATAGGGTATTAGCGGTCTTGCTGGTGTTCAAAGAAGAATGACAACACTGTAGATCACCAACACTATGGTTTATTTTTTATTCACAGGCAAGTCAACGTTGTCGCAGTAAAAGTCCCAAGATAGCTCCTGGTGCAATAAAATGTTCCCTTGCAGTGTTTTACTATTA